ACACTTTTCGTAAGCTCGTGAAGGTATGGCTTTTAGTTCCTTCAGCGAATTCTCTTTTACCGATTCAATCAACTCAAAACGCTTACCACGAAAGCGCAATTTGAGTTTCGGGAACAGGAAAAAGTCGCACGGCGCCAGATCTGGCGAATATGGTGCCTCAGCGATAACAGTGGTGCCGTGTTTGGTCAAAAAATCGCGTACAACAAATATTTTCCAAAGTAAAAATCGCTAAATGCACTTGAGGTAGTCTCATATTAACAGCTGCTGTAAACAAACTAATTGATAGATGGCGCTCAAATTTGTACCATATGTCAAGAAAGGGTGTACCAACATAACAAAAAAAAATTTTGAAAGAGGTCTATTATTTAAGGAGTAGTTAACAAACAACAAAATCCGGATACTTTTTGAGCAGAAGGTACTCATAACAATAGAAGGTGTTAGTAGCTATAAATATCTGGGCCAGTGGTGATATGCAAGCTGAAACGCATAAAATAGCAGTATTTCAAATAAGAATTCTATGAAAAATTTTTGGACCTATACAAAAAAATGGAGTATACAGCATAAAATTTAACCAAGAGTTAAAAGGACTAGTTGAACATGATACAATCAGTAAGTTCATTAAAGAACATCATTTAATGTGGCTGATTCAATGCCAGAAACAAGAGTGCAACACAAGATATTCAAGAATGATATCAAAAGCAATAGAAGAATAGGAAATTCAAGAAAACTATAAAAAGATAGTGTCCGGAATTATCTAGAGGAGATTAATAAGAAACTGGAAAGAGAAAGCAAAAAACAGAGAACACTGGAAGCTTGTTGTAAGACAGGCCTGGGTTCTATACCTATAGTCCGGCAAAAAAATAAATAAATATAAATATTTGTAATAAATCAACACTTAAGTTACCTAGCCTTTTCAGAATTCATCAAGTTTCAGAGAGTTGATCAATTTTTTATTATTGTTAGCAATAAAAATTAAGAAAGAAAAAAATTATTTTATTATTTTATTTTAGAATTATTTTATAATAATTTTTATAAAATCGATATATCATGACTTTAGACTGAAGTCGAAAATCAGAATTATAAAATAATTCGGTCTTTTTTTTTAATTTTATTTTTAACAATAATAAATGAAAACACTATAATAGTATTGATTTATTTGAAATATCTATACCTAATATACGTAATTATTTTTTGTCGGGCTTTAGATCGTTTTTTGTTCTATATTACATTAATTAATATTAAAAAGCTATTAATAAAAACACTAAATAATTTATTAATTTATTTATATATTATTAAAGCGCCTAATATTTCCTGCCAAAATCTTTGATTATTAGCAGCTTCAGTGCAGCTCTGAAAATTTTTAACCTGAAATATTCAAACAACAGTTTTCTCTCGCTGAAATTTTTGTTTAACCACAGCTTCAGATCAGCCTCGAAATTAAAACATTTAACAAAATCTTATTAAAACGTCAAATCTCTGTTACTGAAAATGTTGGTTACCCGCAGCTTCGAGGCACCATCCAAAACTATTCTCTATAATCATTCGCATTAAAGTGAAGGGTTTTAACATTTCTAAAATTTTAACAGAGAGCGATTACGACTATATTTGAGTTTTTGTGGCTACTCAAATATCCAAATTTTCGTAAAAACTCTTTATTAAATAAATTCAATTATTTTTTTATTAAAAAACATTCTCATCAGAAAAAATGATGTTCAGCAATTAAACTTGTTCACACCATCAAAATAATTCTTTCACTCAATCGATATTAGTAACTATTTTTTTAACTTCACAATACACAATTCTATCCCCTTTCTATCCCCTGTATACGTATTTCTATACGCAACCCATGTCATTCCTTTCATATTATCTGTTCGATAGATCTTTGTGGGTTAGCACAACAACAACAACAAAAAATATACGAATTTAGCAAGGATTAGAAATCTTAATATATGTAAATATTCTCTAAAAAGAATATCGATGAAATGTTATTGACATACATTCTATTATATTAACTGACCATTACCAAATTTTACTAAAATGCTACTGGAATAAATAAACAAATAGAAAATATTCCTTTTCAACCGCCATAAAAATGGTTTTCGATAAAAAAATTTATAGTCTGAGAAGAGTCAAAGCCAAAGGGAAACCTATATTTAGTGATTATGTTAGGTTTTGCTACAAATTATATTTGAATCCACTTATTTTGCAATTAAAAGCCGCTACTAAATCTTTATCGTTCAATACATAATCTCCTTTGTGCTGTAATTCTGCGATTCATTCTGGTGTCGATGTAGTTTCTATACATCGTTTAAATCTTTAACGCCTGTTGTTTTCACTTTTAAACAAATCAATCCACTTGTAAATCATTGAATAAATATTAAGAACGATCAGTTTTATTTACAATATTTACCAGTACCATAGTGATGGTAATGTTAAAAATTATTTAAAAATTTTCTGATTTTCTGATTAAATTTTGTTCTGATAAAAAAAATTTGATAATAATAAGTGGATAGCACTTCGAGAGCTCATTGAACAGCTTAATGTATATCTAATTAAAATGTAATTTATCAGTTAAATGTTAATAATAATTAAAGCTGGCATTGCCTTACTACAATCTTTTAAAATATCGCTATTTTTCGAAATAGATGAAAAAACCCCTGGTTATTGCTCGGTGTCTTCACAGGAAACAACATAGTGGGGGCCCAGATAGTTATTTTGGGTATCATCACAGTTTAAACGTCTCAATCACGTCTCTAAGATGGAGACACAACACAGAGTAATTTTTCTCTAATTGTCCAACATTTACAAGAATTTTATTGAGATTGTTGCGCTGTTCACGGTGTCTCTCTCTGTCTCTCATCCTTCTTTTCACTTTCTCTTACTTTCTCTCTCTCTCTCCCTTCTCTTCACTTTCTCTTTCTTTCTCTCTCCCTCCCTTCTCTTCACTTTCTCTTTCTTTATCCCTCTCTCTCCTTCTCTTTTTCTCTCCCATCTTCTCTTTCTCTCACTTCCACTTTCCCTCTTTCTTTTTCCCCCTCTCTTTCTCTCAGTCACTCGTTCCAATCTTCTTAGATTCACTAAAGAAACTAAGGTATTTAACTTAGAGTAGCATAATTTGTTATAGGCATTGAATCTTTCTTTTGGCTTTGAGCACAATAGTCAACTCGATTTATTCTGCCTCATCACATAAACATACAAACCTCTCTATAACAAAGTCGTTGGTGCCTACAAAAAACTTCGTTGTAGAGAGGTTGAACAAAATGTTTTTTGTTTGAATTTTTTTCACATTTGACTGAGGAATATGTACGTATTTATTTTAAAAATATATTTAAGTCTTATTTATTCATATATATATACAAAACATTAAAAAATTAATTGTATATTGGTGAGTCTATAATTTTAGTTTTTCCAGATATTTTTACTTTTTCCTTATTAAGGAACTCTTCCAAATCCAAATCTTCTAACAAGTTAATAGTTTGCATACAAAGAAGTTTCTCATAAGTGACAGGTCGAGTGTTTAATTTGTATTTGAATAAATTCGTTACAGAGAGGTTTCTTTGTATGCAAAAAAAAAAAAAACTTCGCTATAGAGGGGTTCAAATTTGTGAAAATCGCTGTGTCTTCAACAAAACTTCATTATAGAGAGGAATTCGTTATAGGGAGGTTCGCTATAGAGAGGTTTGACTATAATATAATAAATTTCAATATCAATATCACAATACATTATAAAAAGATAACTAACTATTAATATGTTTCAATTTTTATACAACAATCATGTAATATTTTAAACACCCAATTTAACGAATTAACGAATGACAGCATCCAGACAAAATTATAACGAATTATGCATGCATTATATAGAATAGTCAATAATTTAGTAAAAACCAAAAAAAGAAATTGCTTTCTTCTCCCACTTTTTTATAAATGAACCTTTTTGGAAAATATATTTTAACAAGGAACCATTTTATACAAAATATTTACGATTTTGGTGTGAAACTTGTTTAACTTATGTTATTTATTCGATATAAAGAAAGGGCTATCTTTCGTTAAACTGGTTGACTACTAAACGTACATACCTACATACTTACATTTATTTAAATTGGTGTTTAAGGTAAATAATAAGTGAATAAGTTGACAGACATAACTTTTTGTCTTAATCTTTTTATTTGTGGTCACATTAAACTCAGGTAATCATTGCGTGTCTTACATTTTCTGTGATTTCCCCTTTTTTCGAAGTAGCACACTTAAGCTCTTAATCGTTCTCAGTTGTCGGCGGCAAGCACAGCCTTTTCCCGACAATTAAGCAAAGAAAATAACAAAAAGACACGCTGTCTGCCACTTACACAATAAAATGAGCTTCCCAAGGGTTAAAATAAAAAAAGTGACTGGGAACTTATATACTTACAACTGTTGCTTTACATTAATTTATATTCTCAATTTTAAACCTCAATGTAATTATGTAATTTACCATATATATATTATATATAATTTAGTAGATTGAAATATAGGAAGAGGGGAACAAATTCTTTGTTTAATGCTTTAGTTTAAGAATCCATGTTTATTTATAAATATATATATATATATTAACTATAATTACAATCAATTAAATGTATCTATTTTTTTCTAGATAATATAAATAAACTCTGCAAGTTATAACAAATACTTCAACACTTTACTGAACACAATTTAAGAAGATCTTAACCTAATACATATAATAAATTCTCTGGCAATTAAAAGAAGTTCTCCACTTGCTCGACTTGCCACAGCGAATTTTCGAAATCTTAAATATGAATGAAATCTATAGTGTTATCAAGAGAGATACATTAATTTTTCTTAAATCAAATTATAAATACAAGCGTAGAGAAGTACAGTTAGAACCTGAACCGCAGCAAGAGTCTGAGAAGCACATTTGCCGGCGAACATTCAATAAAAAATTTAATATTAATATTTGCATATTTAAAAATATTTTAAGACTATTTATTTTAATTATAAAAAATTATATGCAACAAAGTAGAGTTGAAAGCCACCTATTGCATCCAAAGGATGGACCTGTTGTCAGTGTTGCTACAGTTTACGCAGAAGACAAATGCATCAAAGCGAACCACTTGAGCGCTGCTGATAAAGTAAATTATGTAGAAAATTATGATGAACTGTCAACAGTGGCGAGGTGTCGAAAAGTGTCACTTTATCAATGCCACTGGCCAACTATGAAATACTGGCGCCGGAAACTTGTTTATGGCGTGTCGAATCATTATAATCTCTTAACAGCACTTCCATCCTTTACATCAACTCCATCAACGACAAAGCTGTCAATGAAGCATTTGCCAGTTTTGGTTTGTGGTAAACGTATCAGTGCGTTGTCAATACTCATGACAGTTTTTATTGCATTTGCGCTAATTGCTCGGAGTGTGGAAGGTGAGTTCCATACTTTATCTTTTATTTTTTTTTTTTTATACTTTAAAATTAAGTATGCAGCTAAATTGCTATGAAAGTAAAACCCATAATTATGCGGTACTTGTCTAGATGAGATCTATTTATTATACAATTTGAGTGAATAAAATTTAATTAACATTTTATTAATGAAATTACTTTTAAACATACTTTTTTTATTAATCAATTAAACTTGAAGAGATTACAGTTATCTTTTATTATAAGTAGTCTAGGAGCTTAAGAATTAAAAAAAAATTAACTTCTAATATAAATAGTTATAAATAAATTTAAATCATATATTTGGTTAAATTATTTCTTCAATCTATTGAAAATATAAGGTGGCGTAGTACAGCTTCGTTGAAACTAAAACCCCTGTAGAGCATTTTTAACCAAATATGAAAAAATAAATTCTTCTTTATACCTCTGTTGCGAGTCCAATTGACGGCGATATTACAATTTTATATGTTTTGAACGATTTAATGCTGCCCACCTCCCATAAATTTCTATTTTCATAGTGCTCATACCTGTGGTGGGGTATGTAGACGAGTTCTTCTTTCACGGTTCAACCGTTCATTAAAAACATAGACCTGCCGAAGAATCATTCTCAATTCACCTGTATATTTTGATGCTATGTTTTCAAAGCATTTTCATCACTCCATCAATTCACCTCTTTTGCATATTCCCAGGATTTCCCATTCGAATATCTTTAGCTGCTTCCTTTGAATATGCTTTTGTGTTTTCGCATGTCTCTACTTTCTATAGAAAACACCTGTAAAAATAAAACAAAAATTTTATTAAATTTTGAATTTCTTTCTCGAAAATATTAATCGATTCATTTTATATGGATGTGTTCAAATCCGAAGTTATTTAATTATTTGATTATTCGCAAAGCAAACGAAGTCTCCGAAATTAAAAAAAATTTAGATTTTTTGTGAATTTGAAGACTTCGAATATCCAGGTTTGCGATTATTATAAGTAGTGCAACTCTTCGAAGACTTCGTGATCAAATGTTAAAGAGAGAGCACACAATGATAATGGATTATTCTATGAACATGGTTCTATGGATATTCATTATTTTTGTATGGATAATAGAATTTTTTATTTTTAGTATATAATTTAAAATTTCGTTTTATTTTAAATGATTTCTTTAACAAAATTTCCGTTAAAAATATAAAAAAAATTAAAAAATAAAAAAAAATTATTTACTTCGAATTATTTACTTAGACTATCTTCAGTGTGTAATATAAATAATTTTTTATAAAAATTAAAATATAATTAAAATAATTTACACAAATTAATAAGTGTAATTTTTTATTTAATACAACATTTTTTATAATATTATTTTTTATAATAACAAAAAATTTAAAATAAATATAATATAATATATTTATAAATGCATAAATATTGATATTTACATATATTTATATATTGTATATAATACTTCAAATTTTCTTTAAGATAATTATTTCAATACAATTTTATAATATTTATATATTATAAGTTATTGAAAATGTGGTTTTTATATATAATTCTTTAAAATGTAATACCAAATAATATAACACATAATTTTCTGGAATAAATACCAAATATAAAATCATATTAACAACAACAAATTCTATTATCCATACACAAATTAGTGCTTATTTGTGTGATCCACCTTCATTTGCATTGTGTGTTCTCATTTAACATTCAATCAGGTCATCATTTCTGGACGTTCTTATTTCTAAGAGTTTTAATGTATGATCAAAGCATTACTTTCTCTCTTGATACGACCAAACTGGCAATCAAACCAAAATAGCTGATCACATCTAAACAAAATTGGACACATGCATCCTTCTGCTAGATTTCAAAATTGACTTGGTCCAAACTGGGCAAGAAACGTACCAAACAGTTGCATCAACTAAGACATAACCTGCGCAGTATTACGGTATCAATTACGATATTATTATATATTACAATATCAATATGTGACTAGATCTACTCTATAATGACTTTTGTCGTAGTTGTAACTCTGCGCATGAGGTGGAAACTATCTCTCTCTACCTCATATGTCAGTGTCCATCATTGGCTAGGAGAAATTTGAAAATTTTCAAGTTCCTCTTCTTACAGACCTGAAAAGTTGTCATTCTGCAAAATTAGGAACTTAGTCAAGTTTATAGATTTATTTATTCGAATGATTCACTTTCACTTAAATGTCATGTGTCTCAGCGTTGCTCGTACACTGACCTCAAATCTGCCCATGAATAACACTAACCCATGGTATCACAACGGAAAATTATTTGAGCTCAAGTGGACTTTAGGCACAAGATCGCCCCTTCAACGTAGCTTAATGTGTGAGCATCCACGAGAATTTTTTAAAAGAACCGGATTAATTTAATTTTGTTAATTAATTTCATTTATTTTTTTTTTATTTTATTTTGCTTTATATTATTTTTTTTATATTATTTTTTATATTGTTTTTTATATTATTTTTTATATTATTAATTTATATATTATTTAAATGTGCGAGCATTTAAATGTTAGTCAGTTGGCTAATAAACGTTGACTCTAAGCTTCAAATTTGGCAGGGCACGAGCTCAATCCCTGCTACTTGCAGTCTAAAAAAAGTTGTTTACGCATAATTAAATACAAAAAATAATTCCAAAACCCCTGATGACTGATATTTGATAATAATCGAAACAAAAATTCAATTAATTAAAATAATATAAAAAAGTATTTTTGTTGTTGTTGTTCACTACTTTTCAAAAACCTCTTTATTATTTTTTTATAATACTTTTTTTATATTATTTTTTTTTGTATTATTTTATTATATTATTTTTCTTATATTATTTTTCTTATATTATTTTTTTATATTACTTTTTTATTATTATTTTTTTTATATAATTTTTTTTATATTTTTTTTTATATTATTTTTTTTATATTATTTTTTTCATATCATTTTTTTTATATTATTTTTTTCATATCATTTTTTTTATATTATTTTTTTTATACTATTTTGTTTACATTATTTTTTTATAATATTTGTTTTATATTATTTTTTTTATAATATTTTTTTTATATTTTTTTTTTACATTTTTTTTTTACATTATTTTTTTACATTATTTTTTTAAAATTATTTTTTTTACATTATTTTTTTTATATTATTTTTTTAACATTATTTTTTTTTAACATTATTTTTTTTTAACATTATTTTTTTTATATTATTTTTTTATATTATTTTTTTTTTATTATTTTTTTAAATTATTTTTTTTATATTATTTTTTTTATATTGTTTTAGTTTATTTTGTTTTACATTATTTTGTTTTTTTATATTATTTTAGTTTATTTCGTTTTATATTATTCTGTTTTTAAATATTATTTTTTTATATTATTTTATTTTGTTTCATATTATTTTGTTTTTTTATACTATTTTTTTACTATTATTATTATTATTTTCTATTATTTATTTTTTTTGTTGTTATCAACCATGTGAAAAAATAAATAAATTTTTATTTATTTTATTTTAATTTAATTTATTTTCTTTTATTCTCTTTCATTTAATTAAATAAATTATTTATTTATTTATTATTTATTAATATTTAATATTAAATATTAATAAATAATTAATATTTAATTTTTTTTATTTACATTTCAATTTTTTTAATTTATTTTAATTTAAATTTGTTTTAAAATTAATTTGTCTTTGATGCAATTTGTTATTAAATTGTGTTTAGTTCAAAAATAAGTATTCAAGATGATCTGATGACATATTCTTTGGAATTTTTGAAGTTGAAAAAAGTTCTACTCTAAAAGTTTGAGAAATTCAAAAATTCTTTTTGTTTAAGAAATAAAAAAAATTAAAAAAAACATAAAATCTTACAAATTCACAAATATTCTAAAAAATTGCAATCATGTACATAAATTTTGAACTATTTTGTTTTTTATATTTGAAAATGGAATTCACTTTTAGCCATAAATTATATTGAAATCGTCTGTGATGCACAATTTAAATAAAATGAAAGAGCTTCACAGCAGCAATGCAACACCTCCGCAAAAATGCAAATTGTTAGAGGCAAAGATAGTTCTCAAACGTGTTCAAAGATATTTACATCAAAGTTTAAAAAACTATTTTTTTTCCTTGTACTGAAATGCATAGAATAATATGCATCAATTATAATAAAAATAAAATAAAAAATTTTAAAGAAGAAAAATAAATTGAACGTCAATTCGAATTCCACGACTTTCATCCCAATACAAAAAACTAGAAAAAATCAAAGATAATACCAATTTGGTGTGCAAGTATTTAGCTCGATAATACGCAGATTGCATATATTTCAATAAATAATGAATCAGGAATTCAATACGAAAATAAAAACTATGCAAATAAATTCATATTCACCATAAATCTTATATAGGAGATACCTTAACAGTCATTAAGTCATATTAATATTTAAATGGAGCCATTAAAATAATGGCAAGGGCATATAGATTTCTGAATATATTTAGAACCATATAATGTGTTTTATAGTGTGTTTTAAAATTGCAGCAACTAAATCATTTAATATAAATGAAATAAGTATAAATATATAAAATCAATTGTTTGAGATAACACAAACTATAATTTTCGGTTACTAAAGCTGTATAATATTAATTTTCTTTGAAATGTGTAATTAAATATGTGGATGTAAAAGATATGCAATTGTAACAGTACGAGTCCACAAGCAACGCCAAAAGTTCTCTATTGACCATGCATTTCGTCACTACTAGTCGATTTTTTAGGATTGTATAGACGGTAGTCAAACTCACGACGGTTTGTAAACGAATACCCGCCATGCTATGATGAAGCTATTGCCAGCTATGCATTATCAAAAAATTCCCTTAGGGGTTTCATTATTGTAAGATGTGCCGTAAGGAATATATCAATAGTATTGTATACTAAATCTTCTTGACCTATTTAAGACTAAACATATCAAAAGAAAAAGTTTTTCTAATATCAGCCACACAAGATTCAAATACGAGGGTTTATAATGAAAAAATGCTAACTTGCCGTTGAAAATTGCTTTATGGTTTCTCGAAATATTTTCCTTTATGATAAATACACTTTTGATGCCTTCGAATTATTTGTCAAGGCATTATTTTCAATCTTTTTCAGACACTTCCAAAAAAATGGTTTTTAAACCATACAACAACGACTTCTTCCTCGACACAAATCGTTTTCCACACAATTTAGTCGTATTCTTGACTTGTTCTTGAAGAGAGGTCATTCTTCAATTGATGGGATGACTCACCGATTGACCCACCGATTTTTTGAATGTTCAAATAGTCGGTTGTTAGACGTGATGTGTGAGTACTCGCATTGTCTTGATGGAGATAGAGAATGGTTCGACGGCGCTTGTTTGTTTTCCGTATTACACTCAAAACTTTACGAGCATCTTTTTAAGATTTTGTTAAATTGTTGGATGATGGGGGATCCAACGAGAACAATCCGTTCACACGGCTAAATGATCGTGAAATATTTTATATATGCACAACAACTGATTTTGGACAAACTTCACGTATTTCATCACTGAGCGCACTGCGGCCACGATTAAAATCGTTGTACCAGCGTTTCACAATGACAAAGGATGGTCATTTGGCTTTATCCCCAAATGTAGAAGTATCGCCAAATGTAGACATAAACTGTATTAAATTATTTACAACAGTAGTTTTATAATTTAAACATTTTTTTATTAATTGAACAACTTACTTTCAAAAATAAAGATAAAGGACAGTGATGCCTGAAAAATCTATGAATTGGACGTCTATCTTATTTGCTTATGTCTTGCCATTGCCAGACGAGATCAGTAACCCGTACAAATTTTATTATACTGATAAGACTTATGGTCTTTAGCTAAGATATATTATTAGGTTTATCAAAAGGCTCAAATTATCTCCCCATCATATTATAGAAGCAAAATAGCTATCATAGATTGCACTCTATTATTGTATATTTCAACAATTCATAACTGACCTAATTTCTTGATTTTGTCGATATTAATTTTTTAGGATTTGAAATACTACTATTCATTTTTGCAACCTTTTTTATACTATGATTTCGAAATTTATATATAATCTGTTAAATTGAATTTAATTTTTAATTGTAGCTGGAACTTGTTGGGAGACTTCATTTAAACATTTTAAATGTGATAAAATTTTCGCTATGAACATTAGCAAAGCCGAGTGTTGTGGTTATAGTCAGGAATTTTCGTATACCGATCGCGAACTCACTGGTGTGGAATTTTTCTTTGCAACCACAATTGGTGAAGGAGCTGAATGTGCACCTTGCATGGGTGAGTAGAGAAACTAAACAAAATTAATATGAAATATGAAAAATATGAAAAATAAATTCTTGTCACGCATATAAAATTTTAGAGACCTGCAAGGCCATAAAATGTGGAGAAAATAAGAAATGCGTCAAACGCAAAGGCCGTCCAAAATGTATTTGTGCACCCGAGTGTGGTCAATCGGCTTGCCGTAGAAATCGATTCAGAGCACAACGAAAGCACAATATTTATAATGAACCTTTCCACATTGGCTACGATAAGCGAAGAATCTCAGCCGTAACGCATGTCGAACTCAATAAATCGCCACGTGATATACGTAGTCTAAGTAGTGAAAATATGAATATCAATTTA